TGAGTTTGAACCGCCAACTTTACGGTGCAAACCGACCTTGCGGTCCAGTGCTTTATACCACAACGCCACACCATAACTCCTGTTATTTACTATAACGTGATCCATTCAGCCACCTCTGCTGGAAACCTTGGCACCATCTCCATGCTGTCCCCGCCCACACCCCATCAGTCCCCACAGCCCAGTGGATTCAGCCTGGGAAAGCCTGGACTCTGCCCGCCTCCTGCATTGTCACCCCTAGTCCTGATGTGGCGCAGTAGAGTAAGCACTGGACCACAAGGTCAGTTTGAACTGCAGGGTCACTATGAATCAATGGCACTTACACCAACAGTCCAGCTCCAATGTCCTGGTCTCTTTCCTGGACTCCTTCACTCATGGTCCCACCCCAACACTGTCCAACGCAGCTGCTCCCTTGGTGATGCTTCATTGCGTCTTCCAGCCCATACCCCACTCCTCCACGTCCCCTGTTCCTGTTCACCAAATAAGCTTCCTATACAACCATGCCTCCATGTTTTAGCCTGTATTTTCTGCAGGCTAATTTCTCTTCCTTGTCTCATATGCAGGGGAATTGTGCTTTTCTCTGGCAGGAAATCCCAGCCCCCAGTGGTCCAGCACCACCTTCTGTCTGCCCCATCCTGGCAAAGAGCCCACAGATCCATGAGTAGAAGGGCTCCTTCCTACTCTCCTTTACGTTCAAACAAACACAAGAGATACTACGCCTTCCATCAGGTAATAAACAAGTGATGCAGGTATAAAAGTACCATCCTGGTCAATTCTCTTCAAAAGACTACTTTCAATAGCTGGGTTGTTGTTTTTTAATATAGAAGAACATTCTGTCATTTTTGAAGCGATGTCGGGATTGTATGTATTTGAGCAATGCCTATTCCTACATGGCACTTGGTGAACGGTAGAAGTGGAGTGCCCCACACAGTACTGGCTAAGTTCCTAACAACAAGCTCAGAGGGAGCCCCATTTGTTTTCTTTGGCTCCTACATAGTAGGCACACACCAAATGTTTCTTCAATGGTGAATTAATTTGTTGCTGTATTAACTGCTTGTATGATAGTTGGTTTCCAAAACCTGTACCTATTTAAAATCACAATGTTTGAATGTTGTTAGGTGCCATCGAGTCAGTTTGGACTCATAGCGACCCCCATGCACAACAGAACAAGACCCTGCCTGGTCCTGCACCAGCCTCCCAAGGTTGTTATGTTTGAGTCCATTGTTGCTGCCACTTTGTCAGTCCATCTTGTTGGGAGTTCTTCCTCTTTTTTGCTGATCATCCACTTTTCCAAGAAATAATTTTTGATTAGGAGTCCTGGTATGGTGCTGTAGGATAAACACTAGACTGAAAGGTTGGTTTAAACTACAAGATCGACAGTTCAAACCAACCAGCTTCTCCAGGGAAACCCTATACAGGGTCGCTATGAGTCAGAACCAGTTGGACGGTACTTAAGAACAACAGTCCATTTGTTGTTGTTGTTGTTATGTGCCATCGAGTCGGTTCCGACCCATAGCGACCCTGTATAGGGTTTCCGAGGGTGTAAATCTTTACGGGAGTAGAAAGCCTCATCTTTCTCCCGCGGAGCAGCTGGTAGTTTCGAACCGCTGACCTTAAGGTTCGCTGCCCGATTCGTAACCACTACGCTACCAGAGCTCCTTAAGTAACCCTAAATCAAATAATACGTGTTTAAGTCCCCCAATCTGCACTAGTCCCCCAATGTACTCTCCTAGAAATGATCCGGACAATTTGCTGCCATTTGGGAGTCCACCCCCACCCCCTCTCCTTTATGAGACTTGGTGAGTATTATGGAGTGAATTGTATCCACCTAGAATATGTGTGGTAAACCCTGCCCCCTAGACCTGTGATTACAATCCCTCTGGGGAACAAGTTTTCCTTGTTATGTTCAGAGATGTTAACACATGTTTCTATGTTATGTTAGCATGCATAAATTCTATCAGTTATATCTCAAAGACCAGTCACCTTTGACATAAAAAGAGCAGGTTAGGCATAGAGAAGCAAACAGAGCATTTGTATTTGTTATGTTCAGAGATGTTAACACATGTTTCTATGTTATGTTAGCATGCATAAATTCTATCAGGTATATCTCAAAGACCAGTCACCTTTGACATAAAAAGAGCAGGTTAGGCATAGAGAAGCAAACAGAAATGGGAAAGAAAGAGAAGATACCACATCACATGAGGATCACCAAGGACCCAAGAAACAGAAACAGTAAAAAGACAAGAAGTTTTCTCCAAAGCCAACCAAGAGAGAGAACTGTCCCTAGAACCCGCACCCTGGATTCCGACTTCTAGCCTCTGAAACTGTAAGAGAATACATTTCTGTCCCTTCAAGCCACCTATTGGTGGTATTTCTGTGATAGCAGCACTAGAGAACTTAGACACAGGGTTTCAAACACACAGGTCTAAAGACCTCCTACTTGGGAGACAAGGATGTTGAACACAGAGTCCTCTCTAGCTGGGCAATATGAGGTGATTGTGAAAGAGAACCCTAAATGACCTCTTTAGGCAGTCCTTTTTCACTTCTGTTGCACCTTTTCTGCCCCCATATTCTCTCCATAGTTACAATTGCAATTTAGGTCATGCCTGGCTCTATGTTGCTCTTGAGTTGTGTCAGATCCAAGGACAGTTGTCATTGTCCATTTAGATCTTGCACGTTACTTGCAGGGAAAGGATTCCTCTACATGAAGCAAGCACGAGATAGCTCTAATACTGTCCATCTGTAGAAATTTATTGAGAACAATTAAGGAATGTATACTGTTGTTGTGGTTGTTGTTGTTGTTGTCAGGTGCCATCCTTCTCCAGCGATCAAGTAGGTACTGACTCGCAGTGACCCTATGCACAACAGAACGAAACACTGCCTGGTCCTGGGCCAACCTCACAATTGTTGCAATGCTAGACCCATTGATGCTGCCACTTTGCCAGTCCGTCTCACTGGGGGTCTTCCTCTTTTACTCTGACCCTCCACCTTACCAAACATTATGTCCTTCTCCAGCGACTGGTCCCTCCTGACAATATGTCTGAAGTATGAGTGATGAAGTTTGACCATCTTGGCCTCCATTGAGCACTCTGGCTGCCTTTCTTCCAACACAAATCTGTTCTTTTGGCAGCCCATGGCACTTTCAATATTCTCTTAGATTTTTATTCTTTTGAACCATCTATATACTTTCCTTAGAAATTGTCGAGACCATGTGCTTTTAGCCTAACAAGACATGAGAGGAACATTGTTTTAAAAAATGTCAAAGTTGTTTGTACAGCAGTGGAATTGAATGATATTGCAGAAAACATTTCACAAAAACAAATGTAGAGATTTGCAATTCATGCACGAAGCCCCTCTGTGTGGTAAGTACCCTGTGTGCCACCAATTTCTACGTCTAGACTAATTTCTATAAAGAAAAATCAGGCTCGAGATGAACAGATAAGAGGTTGGCTTACAGACTCACAATAGCTGTAATGGTGGATTCTGTTGGGGGAATGTCATTCCATAAAGGGACATTTAGCTAGATTATGAATACAGTGTTTTCAGAATCTCTTCTGGATCGGTGGGACAAAGAGGAGGCTCTTGCTGATGGAATATTTATTGCATAATACACTGGAGAATAATAGGATAGAATAAGGCATTGTGTGCCCTGCTCATTTCAGAGCTGACCCCTCTAAAGGCACAATGTCACTGCTGATTATTTACTAGAGCAAGCACTTCAGTGAACACTCCAGAGATTGAGGGTTTCTTCATGTTCTCGTTTACATTGTCGATTAGAAATTCTTGCATCATAACCCCTCAGCCAATGGAGCTCTGGAAGTGCAGTGGGTTGCACATTTGAGTCCACTGGCCACATCTCAGGAGACAGATGAGGCCTTCTGCTCCTGTAAAGATTTACAGCTCTGGAAACCCTAGACAGGGTCGTTGTGATTCTCAACCAGTAGCAGCCCCTCAAGTAGCTTACTGCATTGGAATTCCTGGAAGCGAGTTTTTTGAAAATGTATTTCCATTGGCTGTGAAGCAGCCATCGGCCTCCCCAGGAAGTCAGTAGTCCCCAATGGCAGGAGCTCCATGCCCAGGGTTCTCCCTGGCTGTGTAAGCGCTGGTGTTCTGATATCTTCAGGACATGCTGCTTGTTGCAGACTCAGTTCCCATGTGGTGGAGCTTCCCGGTGACCTGTCACTGAAGATCGTGAAATAGATCTGGGAACAGTGAAAACAGTATAGTCCACCCAGAAAGTAGCAGTGAATGAATGCAAAAATAAGAACTCCAGGAAGACAAGAAGGGGCTTCAAAAACTTCATGAGAAAAAAAGGGAGTTGACAGATAATAAAATTTCCCCACCAATTTTCTGAAGCCCCCTTGTAAACTTTCCTCAGAAAGGCCAGTCAAACAATAGAAGGAATCAGGTTTCTGGTGCAAGTCTGAACAAAACAACTGTGTCCAGATTGCATTAAATTGACTTGCCTGTGTCAGTAATCGGCAAATGAGGAAAAGCAGCTCATAGCCATCCCAACGGTAAGTTTTTAATCAGTAAGCCATACCAGAAGTGATTCATTAGTAGCCCTCTGGTGGTCGTGGTGATTGTGCGCTGTCGAGCCACTTCGGACTCATACTGGCCCTGTGTAGGGTTTCCAAGGCTGTAAATCTTTGCAAAACGAGAAAGCTCATCTTTCTCTTGCAGAGCAGCTGGTTGAACTGCTGAGCGTGCAGCTAACACCCCAACATATAACCCATGATGCTACCAGGGATCCTTTAGTAGCCTACAAGAAGCCAGAAAACATGCCTAAATATTGCAGAAATACAATTTCAGATGAATGTATTAGCATTCTCAAATGAACGTCTCCATCCCAACCATCTCAATGTCTGATTTTCATAAATGCCGTCAGAAAAAAGATGCCCATCCTGTACACCTCTGTTCAGAGCTAATGATTAATAAAGTTTTTAGAGTTCAAATACAACCTGGTTGGTGCAAACGTTTGCATTAGACACTGGTGTTCACACAGATCCCCCAGAAAGTGTCTCACAAGTAATTGTAAAGGTTAAATATCTATCTGAAATTTAGCCCCAGGTCCTGCAGACCAGCACAAGGGACTTTGAAAGAATGTACTTCCTTATGAAATTTGAACGTCTTTTCTTATAGAAGATGCAAACCATCTATTGCCTACTTTTCTTCAGGTTGAATTTCAAAGGTCAAAAACATAAGAGAGTTCATAAAAAAAAAAAAAAAAAAATTAACTCTCCAGTTTAGAGCTCAAGCAAACTTCTCTGTTGAGCTCAGATCTTATTGTTGTGGTTATGTGCCGTGGAGTCGGTTCCGACCCATAGTGACCCTGTACAGGGTTTCCAAAGCTGTAAATCTTTACAGGAGCAGAAAGCCTCATCTTTCTCCCACAGAACAGCTGGTAGTTTCGAACTGCTAGCTGTGAGATTAGCAACGTGATTCGTAACCACTACGCTACCAGAGTTCAGGTCTAGAACTGAGACAAAAGTGCATGGTTCATCCTCTAACATTACCAACTCTGCTCACCTGATCCATAGCCAGACCCAAAAGGACAAGCCAAAAAGATCATGTTTCTCTGTAATTATTTTCGTCTTCTTTTGTCTTTTACCCACTTCAATCATTCCCACTCCAAGTATGTGAACTATTCAGGACCCAAATGGTATCTCAGGGATTTCTTTGTGTTTTTGAATAAACCAAAAAAGATTCCTTATTTGCCCTCTTATTAAAGCATGGAATTTAAAATGCTATTTACATATGATCATTTCAATGGTTTGTGAAATGTATTCATGGAATTCAAGCTCAAGAAAGGATCATTAACCAGCCCAGGAGAGCATCATTGTGGATGTGTGCCTTTGCCTAAACATCCCCTCCGTGTTGTGAGCTGCCTGCTAAACCATTCTGCCTAGCTGGACACCCATACTCAAATGGATAGTAAACAAACGAGTTCATCATCCTTCAAACCCAATCCCTTCTCATCCTCCAAATCAAAGTTGAGTTAAAGACCCCACCCGGCCTCAATGTCAGATTCCAATTTTCCCTGTCTCTGACCTGCACATTTCCTGCCCCAGCCCCTCATTCCCTGCATGGTCTTGCTCAAACTCCAGATTTCTTTTGGGGGTCTGCCGCCCTATTCAGAGCCCTGTCCCCCCACTGGACTCTCTCTGCTCCATGTATCCTGTACTCTGCTTTGACCACTTTGTATCATCTTGTATGGGCACCTCTCAGGGCCCTGACCTCTCTCCTCTAAGTGAAGGGACTTTCTTAGGTAATTAATAAGGACTCTCCCTGCTCCAGGATTATAGGATTCTGTCAGCTGTAAACTCCAGTGCCTTGATTTTACTTGCATATTCCTCTACTCTCTGCTCCATCTCATCTGGATGTCTTATGTGTGGATTACACTTCACAATTTGCTTCTGCTCTGCCCATCAGCTGAAAAGCCATCTTCTTCCCCATCTTCCTCTCCAACTATGAAATCCCTATTTGATCTCCAAGGCGGTTCTCAGGTTCTACGACCCATTCCATCCATCAGTTCCCTCTAAGCCTGTATAACATTCCATCATCCTCTCTCTGGGAACAGACATTACACCATACTTATCTTGTACCCAACATCAACTATAAGCTTCTTAAAGACTATGTCTTACCACACTACCACCACCACCACCACCCGCCACATACCCCCTCCCAAACCAGCAATGCCTTCAACACAGTAAGCACTAAGAGGGTATTTGTTGACTTGATTTCAATTAATTCCATTTTTTTAAAAACTGAATCAAGCAAAGTGTGTCACAAGCTTGCTTTGATAGTGAAAGAGAGCACTGTGATGCAGCTGTCTAAAGAGACTCTGGGGGCTGGAGGGACTAAAACGGGGAGAATCCCCAGAAGCCAGCTGACTGCTGCTCAAACCAGGTGCAAGTTGAGCAAAAACTCTATAGTGAATGAAGGAAAATAAGATGTGCAATGGCAAAGAATACCAACATTCTCACTAATGAGCCTTAAATGTATTATTTTTGCAGAGAATACCGAGATTATTTCAGTCCCTTGTTGACTAATTTGTATGTTCTTCCTACAGATACTTTTGGAAAAAGCCCTATTGTTTGGACTTTACTGTGTGGACACAGTGGTCTTTGTTTAGAATTGTAATCATAGCATGCATAGCTGCAAATGTGGGACTAGGGACGAGCTGCCGCTCCCCCTCCGGCTCCTCCCACACTGAGATACTGTGTTCTTTCTCTCTTATCACAGCTCCTTTGTCAAACATTTAGTGACTTTCCCCCCAGACAGATTTGCAGTTTGTTCTCAACCATAAAAATACCTTCATTGGCCTTGTTTTTTAAACATTTAAACTTTGTCTCTAAGTCTCAAGATGCACATGAATTTGTCTTATTTTTTCATTTTGAATATGGTTTTATGGCAGTATATCAAGCTTGTGTATCATGCATGGCTTACATTTAGGATTGATGGAAACACATCTTATTTTAGGATGTATTCCTGTCTTCTTAAACAGATAGTCACGCCTGCTGGCTAAGAGGTTGGGGGTTGAGATGGGGGGTTAGGAGTGTCCGTGGTGTGTGGCCACCTGTCCAGCATCCAGTGGGGGGGGGACAGGTGCAAACCTCTGTGAGATTGCTGCTGAAGAAAGGATCAGACACACCTCTCAACTCCTAGGATTACCCTTTTCCCAATCCCCAGACCCTGAGAGATGAAACCTTTTGTTTTTTCATCTAATAAAGAGTAAGTTGTTACTTTTCCTGATTTACAAACTCTAATGCATTGCTTGGTATAGACATTTTGGAGGTCAGAATTCTAATGAATGCTCAAAAAAGGGACTAAAGTCCATTTCAAATATACTGGCATATAACCTCAGGGCAATTGCAAAGTGTTCAGTTTTAAGTTGGAGATATACTGTACAAGAAATTTAAGTTCCTTCCTGTTTTTATGAATATAAAAATTACCGGGTTATGTTTTGCTGCTCTAATCAGTTCCGCGAGACCTCATTCAAACTGAAGCGCTAACAATGATGAACTGCCTTTCCAAGGCCTAGAAGCAAAAACATTTCTTTTTGTTTTCAATTTGATTTGAGGGCCAATGTGGATTTTTTCGGGTGAGGTAGTAGGAGTTGGGACCGCTGTTGCTAGACTTGGAAAAGTTAGAACAAGTTGAAATTTATAGGAAAATAGCGAGAAGGTAGTTCTCCCAGATGCCATCTAACCAGGAACTCTGAGGGGGACAATTCTTAATCTAGATATTGTGAAAGAATTGTGTGTGGCCTGGGGGTCTTCTCACAGAGCGTGGGTTGGGGGGTGGGAGAGTGGATACTAAAGAAAGCCAAGCCCAAATCACTGCCTTGATTCAATGCTGACTTGTAACGACCCCTCACAGGGTTTCTAAGACTATAAATCTTTAGGGGCGCAAACAGCTTCATCTTCCCACAAAGATGGACAGTGTTGTTGTTGAGTATTGTCGAGTCGGTTCTGATCCATAATGATTCTCTATAGGGTTTCTGAGGAGGAGCTGGTGAGTTTGAACCACTGACCTTGCAATTCAAAGTGACCTTGAGGTCCAGTGCTAACCCTACAGCGCCACACCACGACTCCAAAAATGGGCACGAACTGGCTTCTTCCAGTGGAAACATTTATTTTTTTCTTTTGTACAATTTAATTGGATGGGTATCCTGAAAAGCAGGTTTTCATATTCAATCAGAACCTCATCGTAGTTCAGAAGTATTCCTGTGTGTATCTCAGATACATTTTACAAACGTGTGAAATGTACACATTTTACACATACTTGGAAAAATATCCATGAAGAGACTTCTTCAAGCCCCTGCCACATTAGGTGACGATGTATTTCTAACTAACTACAATTGTGCACAGTGACTAAGGAAGACTGTAGAAGAATTGATGTATTGGAGTTGTGATGTTGGAGGCGAATATTAAAAGTACCATGGACTGCCAGAAGAACAAACAATTCTGTGCTGGAAGAAGTACAGCCAGAGAGCTTCTTAGAAGCCAGGATAGCCAGACTCCGTCTGTCATACTTCGAACATATTATCAGGATGGACCAGTCCCTGGAGGAGGATATCATGCTTGGTAAACTGGAGGGTCTGCCAAAAAGAGGGAGACCCCCAAGAAGATGGATTGACACAGTGGGAACAGCAGTGGGCTCAAGCACAGCTACGATTGTGAGGTTGGTGCAGGACCAGGCGGTGTTTCAGTCTGTTGTGAATAAGGTCACTATGAACCGGTACTGACCCGGCGGTGCCTAGCAACAACACCAACGACCACTGCAGTTGACCAGCGCTAGGGCATTTGGGGTGGAGGCTGGGCCTCTACGTTCTTTTCAGTCGGGAGACCCCATTCTAGAGATTCCACAGTTACTGTTCCCCTTTGTGGATGTCTTTTCACTTTAGGCCCCAGAACTTAATGTCCATTCTTCCTCTTTATCTCTCTGAGAGTCCGCCTGTCTGCCTGCCCCTTGTCTCTGTCTCTCTCTTTCTTCCTTTCCTTCATATCCTATGTCTGTCTCCATTTCAGTGTTTCTTTCTGGAAACAGGACCCCTGAGAACACCCTGGCCACATGCCGCCTGCCCACATCACACAGAAGAACACCTCGGTCTCACAGTGGCAGCTGAAGTTGACAGTGTGTCTAGTAGTCCTCGTGGTCGCTTCACTCATCACAATGCCTATCTGTAAGGGAGTCAGTGCCCACCATGTATCTGGGAGCTGGGAAAACGAGCTAGGCATGAGCGTGGTAGAGTGCTGCTCAGCCAGTGGGAGATGAAGGCCCCTGGCCTCGCTTTAGGCTCCCTGCTGTTCTATTTTTCTGCTTCTCCTCTCCCCACTCCCCCTACTCCCCATCCATACCTGTCCTCCAAGCTCTGTGCCTCGCAGGGTGTCACAGGCTTTACTCTTTGGGAAGCTCTTTGGGTTTTCTGTCTGGTTTAATCTCAACAGGCTGAGCTCCAACCTAGTCCCTTCTCTCCCAGGATGGGTCCTCCTCAACTGGGAGTCTTTCAAGAGTGGGGGGCACTCCCTTCTGCTGACCCTCAGAGGGGAAGCAGAAGCAGTCTCTCTCTCACCATTCCTGATGCCCAAAGAAACACTGCAAACTCACAGTGTCATACAAAACACTAGAAGCTCATAATGGCCTGTGTTGTTGTTATTATGTTCCATCGAGTCAGTTCCTTAAAGAGTTTTCAAGGAGTAGCTGGTGGGTTTGAACCTCCAACCTTGTGGTTAATAGTCCAGCACTTACCCTACAGCACCACCCACGACTCCTATACTACAAGGAGCCCTATGTGGGGACATAATGATGTCGCTGTTATTATAGAGGAATCGGTTAGGTATTCAGCCATATAACTGCCTCCCAGCTCCATGATAGTATGGCTCATGCCTTAAGGAACATTAGAATTAATGTAAAAACTTTTATTCAGGAATATAGTTTCCTTTTTTGAATGGCCATTTTAACCTGGTCTTTCAAAGTCACACATGTTTTAAACAAATGAATGGAGCTGTTAATTCATTAAGCTATTTATTCATTGTTTTTCTCTTCAAGCAAAATCAGAAGCTGGGGGACATATGTACCTCGCCAGGACAAGTCCCTCCAACACCCACATCCCCTCAAACATACAACAGACACAGAGACACAAGAGCGCACAAGGCCTACGTGCTGTTTGAGTTCATGACCTATAGCATGTGCTTTACCTCACTCTAAGGCAAAAGATTTCTAACCTTGGACTCTGAACGCCAAGGGTATGATTGTGGGCACGTGCCACATACTTCCAAGTTCACACATACTTTCCGAACAGCACACAGCCGTGAGTAGGAGAGGGGATTATGTTTCAGGACCAGCAATCCAGATGGATTGATAGAGCTGCAGCAAGAGCCCTTTCTCTGAGTAAGGTCAGCTTTGAACCTTTTCACCCTCAAAGTGAGATATCCCCCATCCCAATCGTGACGGCTCAGAAACCAACAGATACTAAAACTCCTCATTCGTTTCCATTTCCTTTTGCAACACTAGCTTGGAGATGGCTTTCATTGGGTGGTCAGCTGTTGCAGTTTTCTCAGGACATTTCAGTGCCAAAACAGGGACAGTGGGTCACCCTGTTTGTACGTGTCATAGAGTTGGAGCAATGGAAAATGCCACCGCTTCACCTGCATTCCTGCACTCGCTAGAACCTGGGCATGGAACCTGAGCCAAGCATGACGGGAGCCTCCCAGCTCACAGAGCTTTGGCCAGGCTGGCCCAGAGACCCGGGCCTGCCTCTCTGTGACTCCTGCCCTTCGAGCTCCCCCTCCACATTCCTTGTGCTCCTGATGGTCCGCGCTCCATGCGTACCGAGAGGATGAATTTCCACATATGATGCTTCTTACCTCTTACCTTATACTTTGTGCAATCGTTATAAGGAAACTTCAAGAGATAGATACGGGAAAGTCATTTCGAAGTGTGCAAAGAAAAAATGTGAATATTTTCACCAGAATTACGGGAAAGTTTTAATTTGTAGAAAGAGTCCATCACAAATCCAACTTTTCACTTCATTAGGATGTTGTTGTTAGTGTTAAGTGCCGTCGAGTCAATTCTGACCCATAGCGACCCTGTATAGGGTTTCCGAGGAGCAGCTGGTGAGCTTGAACCGCCAACCTTGCAGTTCAAACGGCTTTGCAGTCTGGTGCATTTAACCCACAGTGCCACACCAGGACGCCTGGTTTTCATTAGGATACTTTTTAAAATTCTTCATAGCAACCAACCAACCAGTTCACATGGAGTTAATTCTGAATCACAGTGACCCTACAGGACAGGGCAAAACTGCTCCATAGGGTTTCCAAGGAATAGGGGTTTCCATACATCATTCCAGAAGCAGACTGCATCATCTTTGTTTTGTAGAGCGGCTGGTGGGTTAGAAGTGCTGACTGCCCGTTACAGCCCAATGCTTAACCCACTGTGCCACCAGGGCTCTTTTAGAATTCTTCACAGTATACATAAATTTTTAGAAGCACCAGGTAGTCTAAAATATTACAGTAGCATACATTTATGTTCCAGTGTCTAAATGAAACCGTTGTGGTGGCGTGTCGTCTAGTTGATTCCCACTCATGGTGACCCCATGTGACAGAGCAGACCACGAGATTTCCTAAACTGTAGTCTTTTTCCCGTGGAGCCACCAGTGGGTGGGTATGAGCCACCAAGATTTTGCCACATGCTTGACCATTGTACCTTCAGGGCAGCAGAGCCACCAAAGACAAGAACCTCACTCTGGCTTCTTTGTTGGAAGCCTTCTGGAAGATCTAAGTATGTGAGGAGGACCTTCCAGGAGTGGCAGTCCACAGGCATGAGGTGGGATTTGGTAAAAACCACCCAGCTTGCTGCTGCTTCTGTGGATTGCCATTGGATTTCTCTGGCTCATGGCGACCCTGTGCACAACATACGGAGACGCTGGCCAGTCCTGAGCCATCTTTAAGATCATTGGTACATCTGAGCAGATTGTTACATCCATCCACATCGTGAAGGGTCTCCTTCTTCTGCACTAACCTTCTACTTTTCTATCAACTGCTCTTTCCTGATGATGTGTCCAAAGTAAGCCAGACTTGGATATACTTACTTACCAAAGGAACGGGCGTCTACGGAGCATTCGCATGTATTTCTTCTAAGCCTGTTTTGTTTGTTCTTCTGACAATGCAGAGTACATTCAGGATTCCTCATCAACATAGCCGTTCAAACACATCAGCTCAGCTTCCATCTTCTCTTCATTATTCTTAACCTCTTTCTTTTTCCACCTCTTGTTCCAACTCTGTTGCTGTGTTGTGAAGCACCACTGAGTCAGTTCTGACTCACAGCGACCATATGTAGGATTTCTGAGAAGTGGCAAGTGGATTTGAACTGCCAACCTTAGGACTAGAGTCCTGTGTTAGTCCTACAACACCACACCAGGACCTCAACTAGACTCAGCAGATCTTTTCCAAATGGCCACAGACCCTTGAGGAAAGACAGAAGGAAATGCACTATGGATTGAACTCTCAGAGGAGGGCTTGGGACCTCTGACCTCTGAGGGTAAGGAAGCTCTGACTTAAAAGCCAGGATCCTTCTGACTCAGCCCCTTCATCAGCTGTCTGCTTTGAGACAAGTAACTTTACACAGTCTGTTTCCCCACATGTTAAATATGGACATTAACCTCGAGAGATTGTTATAAGGGTTGCATAGACTCCTTAGCACATAAACCCAAAGAACATTACAAAGGCGAGTTGCTGTTTCTACTCTGAAGTGACGATGTCCCCTGTCTAGTGGAGAAGGCAGGCCTCCACACAGAGCTGACACGCTGGTCCAGTGGCTTTAGGAGCCCTGGGAGTTCTGAGGAAGGAGATGCTCCCAAGAGGGGGTCTTCAAGATGGACAAGAAGAGCCATAGTGCTGAGCAGAGGGGCAGGCTGGTGGGTAAGCAAGGAAAGGGGGGAATGGGACCTTAGAGATGTGAAGGCTGTGCAGAGGTTCCTAGAGGCAGTCAGACATCTGTTCCACAGCCGGAAGCCAG